AATACAGTGAAGTGACCTGGTTTCTCGCTGTCTCCAGATTTCATTTAAATTTCCCCTTAAAAGTTTGCCACCCCTGACCTTTGTGACTTCGCCACTGGGTAACTAGTCATTCAGTATAGCCAAACGAAAATAGAAAAATATATTTAGACGAATCCAAATATATGTATAGATAATGTTAATCATTTAATTATATACTGTAACATTTATAAGTACCTAGATAATCTATTACGAATTTCAATAGAAAAGGCGAGCACTAAAGTAAATACATAAATTGTTTGTAATTAGTGAAATTAGTAACCTTGCCCCATATCAATCCTTATCTCGAAGTTTCCTCGTCCATTAAATCTATTTTGTCTTCAGTTTTCCGTATTTCCAGCTGCAATGTTACTGTACTTAGTTAGCGATGATGAAATGAAAACAAAAGGCGGTCGAAATAACAAAGTTACCTAAATAGTCGCGTATAGACGCTACGTTCTAGATAAACAGTTTTCCATCATAACTAAAAGTTGCTATCGATTTTTAACGTTCGAAAATACGAAGTAATCAATGTTAGAACGGTAAATTTTATAGGTAGACTAGCTGACTCGGCAAATTTTGTACCTCAATCGGATTTTTGTCACTGTTTAAACCTTGCCAGGAATTCCATTAATATATATATAGTCAAACTTGTGAAATCGGTTCTACTACTAACTACTAACGAACCGAAATACATTTTATTTACAAAGATTGGGTTAGGAGTAGAAATACCAAGAAAGCTATGGATCGAGTTTGATTGAATAAAGAGGGATTTAATCACTTAAGGTTTTTTTTAGTCTAGTAGCGAATTTTTAGTAGTTCTCTCTCGCTTCTGTTCCAAAATCAAAATCGAAACAAGGCTACTAAATACTCGTCACTCGACTGAAATACAAGCGTAGTGCGAACAAAGCATTAGTCTTTATGGATTTCGGAGTTAGATTTCAGATAGATGGGAGTTGCATATTTATCTTTCTTTACTCTTATACTTTATACTTATCATATAAAGCTGAAGAGTTTGTTTGTTTAAACGAAAAATATTATTGTATTGGATAAATGGATAATTAATTGAGGACGGTTATAGGCTATACAATGTCATGCTACTACGATCCATAGGCGCAGAGCGGGTAAAACCGCGCGGAAATGACGAGTTTGTTATAAAACAGAGTCTATCTAAAATAAATTTAAAATCTTAGCTGTTGCACTGCAATTATTATTACTGGGATTGCTGGTATACCAGCGGACGGACGGATTCAAACAACGGATCACCTGATGGTAAGCAATCGGCGTCGCCCATGGACACCTGCAACACCAGAGGCGTTACAAGTGCGTTACCGGCCTTTTACGATTAAGAATTTGAGGATTATAGGGGATTCAGGGCTTAGAAAAGGGGGGAGGGGTAATTTGGGCTCCGGTAACCTCACTCACACGACGAAACACAATGCAAGTATTGTTTCACATCAGTCTTCTGTGAGGCCGTGGTATCACTCCGGTGGAGCCGGCCCATTCGTGCCGAAGCATTGCTCTCCCACGCTTACTTTTTCAAAAACTTTTAACTATACAATTATTTGATTAGTAAATGTACCAACGGTGAATTGTTAAAATCTTTGAATAAGGTTACCAAGCGTGATGTGTTGTTAATAGGGGTGATCGCTGTCTAGCTTCGTGCAAATAGATCGGCGTGTAGATACGCTTCCTTAGGTAGTTGACGTGCGTACTGGTTTGTACAAGACATGATATTAATCTAGTTTAGGTAGTAACTAATGAATTTTTGAATAGATAGCAACATTTAAATTAAAGTTACATGAATAAGTATTCATTTCAATTTCGTTTCATTATGATTATCACCATTTAACCCAGGTTTACCAACTTCTGCGTGTTACATTTAACAGTAGCTAAACCTGGGTCGCTCTTGTTGTCTGTCAAACTTCTCGAATGGATGGAGGCATGAGAGATGCATAATACCAAAAACGTATGGCAGAAAATTTGCCTTATGTAAATAAAATCGTTATTCTTTTGTAAATTGTGAGTCTATCTTTATTAAAGTCTTGAATGATATGAAACAACAAAACAACAATATTTCTTTATATCTTTAGCTAAAAAGAAAAATAATAAAGTGTTCTAAAGATCCAAGAAAGTGTTCTTTAAGACTTTAACAATGTAAGTGGTAGTTGCAGTTCCTAAGTTGTAATAGAAGTTATGATGCAGACCAAACTTTCGTAGAACTGTAAGTTCTGGAGTACGTCGCCACATCTTTGAAAGTTGTGCTGAAAACTCGAAGACTAAGAAATTCCCATATTTTTTTAATAACATAAGTTTTGTTTATAAAACTCCGTCTGGCTTTTTTGTTCTAAACGGTTTTGGATAGAAGGAGACAAAATTACATTTTCTTAATAATGAAGAAAGCGAGACTACTCGACCTCTGAAGAGGTTTTTAATAGCCCCAAGAAAATTAAAAATTTAGATTTATAATTACACTTTGTCCTAATCACCTTGGTTATGGTGTCCTAAGATATGAGCATAACTCAAAATTATTTATCCATGTTATACTTATCAGTACGCACCTAGAAACTACAATATTTACCTATTTAGGTGTAGTCTTTTTGTAGGATCTGTGAATAATTGTTCAAGGAAATGCTAGCTACGATTTAACAATATTGATTTTAAAATATAATACTGTACTTCCAAAGATATCTCTATGTATACAAACTATTTAGTTGAGTTTCATGACTGCAAATAAAAATGACCACTACAAAATGTTAGTAGATTGTATACCATCTCTGGAAGTGCCATTATCATTTGGAACTCGTATTGTTATCAATGTTAAACTATGCTAGCGTATCCTGTTATGTAATGTATCTCCGTGTAATTTGGTAGTTAGATTTTTTTGTCATCTAATTGTTAGCTGGTCACATTCTTTTTTATTCTAATGCTGTGTTCAGGAAAATCTTGGGTCGCTTTTCTAATTTGGAAACTGGATCACGCTGGGCCGATAATAATTTATACTTCATCTGAACGCACCATTTTTAATCAAATATTTTTTGTACATTATTTTACATTCCTAAGTTTAATTCATGAATTCTTTAGTTTTGTTCACGTTGATATTTTAAAGGATGTAATGTACTTTGAGATATCAACGTGTGCAATTTGGATGGACATCAATTTTATTTTCGTATTTGCTTTTGTTTTATTAGCTATCCCAACATCAAAACCTTATTACAAACCTCACTAGTTCATACAGTATTGCACTTACTGAGCGCCCTACCAACAGGGGTGCTCTTACATCCTTAGTTACACGTCACAAGCTTCTTTTAGTCGAGTAGATGGAACGGTAGATCCCTTTAACCAGTTTACCTGCTAAAATAGTTCAATTCATAATTAAATATTTAAAGGTAGAAAAACTGCAGATTGATTTTTGGGATTGGCTGTGAGCTAGTAATCCAAAAGCGATACGTAAGCTTATGCATGAAATGTTACGATGGTGGGTCGCTAACGCAGCGGCGGCGCGAGCGCACCGGCAGCTGACGTGGGTGAGTACGCGAGCTACTGCGCGCGCATCCACGACGAGGAGATCTACCACGACCTGTGCGCGGTGAAGAACAGCGTGCGCGACCTACCGCCCGTGCAGCCGCCCGCTTTCAACACAGTACGCTACGGGTCCCTTTTATTTTTGGTTTTGTTTTCTTTGCTCGCTTTCGGTGGTTGGGAGGAGGAACGGTGCCGGACTCCATAGAACTCTGTTTCAGGATGACTTTTAGAAAATAAATAGTAATAATTTCTAAGCAGTCATGGGAAATGGTAATTGCATGGCTGGTTCCTTGTCATCTTACTTTTAGAGTCAAGTCCCAAGACTGAATGGAATGGAAGTCACAAGTCGAAGGACTGTGATGTGTTTTAATACCTCCGATCTGTAGCCAATGGGAAATAATTGATTATAACATTCAGTAAACATAATATTGCCATCACTGACTACATCGGTAATTCATATTTAATGACGTACTAAAACGTTTAATGATAGTGGTAGAGAGCAATTTCCGATTACGAGTAAACTATACACATGTTTGGACATACAATATGGCTCTATTTTTACGTATCATAAATATTTACATGGCGTAGGTAACCGATAGATTTTCTATGTAAAACAGAGAATGCAAGATACTAGTAAATACATATTTCTAAAATACTAAAGGAAGTGCTCAAACAAAAACTGGTTAAGAATTTCCCGTCACGATAAAGATGTCACAGTTATAATAGAGCGCCACGAAATGTACAAACTATACAATTTTCCCAACAAAAAGCCGTTCACGGATGACGGACGTATTAAATTCCAACCGGACAAGTAAAAGTTTAGCAAATCGTTCCGTACGGCGATTGAATTATGCATGGCATGGCACCGCTGCTGCTCCGATCACGATGTATTTACGCCGCTATTAGTTTTGCTATCACTCTTTTTATAAACACCCAGTTTCTATAGCGTTGCGTTCCTGATGATAAAAATAAGTGGATATCGCAATGTAAGTGGTTAAAAATAACACGATAAATATAGTAACGCGGTGCGGATGTTGCGGAAGATGGGATTTTTGGCCGCTCCAATTTGCACGTTCAGCACATCTGTGTGCTATAAGCCGCTGCGCATACATCCTGCACTCCGTTGCAATAAAACTTGCACGTTGTTGGCATAACTTTCTGTTCTATTTTCTAAGGTTTGGTCGATATCCTATTGGAACTTGACATTATAGAAACAAATGAATGTAAATTGTAGATAGTGGATGGTAGCTGGGTTTATGGTGCTTTGGTCTGCGCTTACATTTTATTGTGCACTGCGGGACAGATTTAGAGGGTCATATTTTGAAAAAATGTTAATGTTATGATTGTAATACAGAATGATATGATTGTCTAAGTCATTTTTAACCCCCTAAGTTTGTCTCTCATGTTTTTGAGTTATTATTCGAGATCCAATACTAATGTGTTTTCTAATACATTTTCAGCTAGCGACATCGTCACATAGTTTAGAAAAGAGAGATTACGTTATAAGAGAGCTGGTGGACACTGAGAACAACTATGTGGATGTTCTGAGCAAAATTATCAAATACTTCCTGAGGCCACTGATGCCGTACCTCAAACCTCAGGATATGCAAGTCATATTCTTCGGGATTAAGGTGAGGTGATTCTAAAACATACAAAAAAGAGCAGTCTTTTACAATGCACAATTCAGTGCATTGCAGTTTCTACAAAACACATAAGGCTTTGTCGAAATATAGCAAATAATTTGACTGCTTTTATCCTAACGCGTCTTTAAAAAGGAGTAAAAAACAGAACAACTTATTTCTCTTAAATAAAACAAGCTTTTTGTGGTCTGTTGATTCGAAAAACCTCAAAACAGAAAGCCTAGACTTCAACCAAATTAATTTACAAATTACAGGAACTGCACGAGACACACACAGGTTTATTAAGGCAGCTGAAGTTAGCAACAGAAGCGTGTGTGCCTGGCAATGGCGCGCCGCGACTGGCGGACGTGTTCCTTGCGTGGCGCGAACGATTGCTGCTCTATGGAGACTATTGCTCAAACCTCACCAACGCTCAGGATACGCTCAAAAACTTAGATGCCAGAGATTCTACCTTCAGTAAACAGTTGGCGGTAAGTGCATTTGAATTTTGACTGCTGACTCATGGAGTCGAACGAAACTCCCGATGGAGCAAGCGCAATGTTTATTTTCTATTGAGTTTTTCATTTTCTTAAAGTTGATTACTTCAGCATTTCACTATTTCAAAAGACATAAAACTGCATACCAATAATAAAAACGTAATTATTTTAAAAAAGTGTTAAAATCACTCAATTAAGGTCATAGTTTGGAAATTGCAATAGTTCATTGAAGGCCAATAGCACATTGTTGAGCTCTAAAACTGTACCATTCACAACGAAGCTACAACATACCTTTATTGTTAAGCTAAAATGCAATTTAGCCAGTTAACAATAAGGTCCAATGTTGTATGTGTACAGAAATGCCAGAAGGAACACAGCGACGGTCGGATACAGCTGCGCGACATCCTGTCGGTGCCGATGCAGAGGGTGCTCAAATATCATCTTCTGCTTGACAAACTGGTGCATGAGACGCAGCCCGTAAGTACTCACTTTATTGTACAGTCGTGGTTGAGACATAAAGTCTCCTCTAATTGCATCGTTAATTCAGATTTAATTAGCATATATTTCCGTAAGTGAATCTATTTACACAGTGCACATCAGCTGCGCGAAAATTAAATTTATTCCAATATCCTCAGTATGGACAACTTAAAACGATTACAGCGCCACCATTACAGAACTTATTATACATTTGTAATAATATTGTTTGTTTTAGAACCATGAGGAGTTCCGCGGATTGGAGAGGGCAAAGGAGGCGATGGTGGACGTAGCGCAGTACATCAATGAGGTCAAGAGGGATAGCGAAGTTCTTGCGCTACTTGCTAAAGTACAGGTAGAGTTTAAAAATAAATATGTTTATTTTTCATTCGTTCAGCAAATACGTAATTCCAAAGTGATCCTTGTTAATTGCTCTACTATCTAGTTTTATTTATACATGTTAAACAATATTTTACGTTGACATTTTTCATCAATTTGGAAATAGACTACTTTAACTAGGTAAACATACTTTTTATCTCTACTATCGATGCCTAACTGCTTATCCTTAATGTCCTGTTAAATATATGTTTCCGTCGTTCTCTAGGAGAGTATAATAGACTGGGAGGGCGGCGCCCTAGGCGCGGGGGGCGCAGGCTTGGCGGCGTACGGGCGCCTCCTGCTGGACGGCGAGCTCAAGGTGAAGGCCCACGAGGACCAGAAGGTGCGCTCGCGGTATGTCTTCGTGTTCGACAAGCTCATGTTGCTCTGCAAACCCGTCAAGGTAAGCTGCCTTCAATCATACAATTTGTATAGCCTGACAAATAACATTGGTTAACTAAAGTTCGTTATGATTTTGTTTTGAAACCACACACGATAATGTAACTTTAGCCATTTAGCATGACAACGCCATACAACGCCTACAACATACGACCAGAGCTTCAAATTTGAAAATAGTAAAATTTAATAAAGTTTAATCCCATGCGAGAATAAAAACTTAGGCCTTTTGCATAATAGTCACATTTACAGCCACTTAACGAACGATATTACTAATGTATTTTCTCCAAAACACATGTTCCGTCATCCCTCCATCTAAATACTTCAGTATAATAACACAAGACCAGCTCTTGTCGTCCCAGGACAACCAGTACTCGTACCGCGTGGGCGTGCGCCTCGCTGAGTATCGCGTGGAGGAGGGCTGCGGCAGGCGAGCGCTGCGGGGGGACGCGCGCTGGGCCTCGCACTTCTACCTCGTCAGACGCACCAAAGACGCAACCTTCACGCTCTACGCCCGCACTGATGACGCCAAACGCAAATGGGTTAAAGCTATTAGGGATGCTATGTGAGTATAGTTTTAGCTGTTATAAATTTCCTTTTTTTTTAAAGGCTAGTAACGTATTTGTATCGCCAATGTGTAAACGGCAACGTCAAAGGTGGCGTCCTCGCTGCGTAGCCGCAGCGTGCTCGTTATACGCTCGTAACATAATTATTGCGCCGCGTGCAAAGTGCTAGTATGATAAGGCTCTCGGGCTTTCCTATGCTTTTGAAAATGTTATAATTAAATAAACCAACAATATTTGTCAACAGCGACAACTTGGAGCCTCCAGGCTGTCGGAGTACGAACCATAAGTTTGTGTTACATACATTTGAGAAGCCTGCCACGTGCCACCATTGTTCCAAGTTCCTCAAAGGAAGGATATTTCAGGTAACTCCTATGACTATTTGTTTTATCCTCCTATTATGTTACTTTTGAAGAAAATAAATACTTAAAGTATCGTACCTGTGCAGGGCTACCTGTGTACAGTGTGCAATGCGTGTGCGCACAAGGAGTGCATCGCTCTGTCGGGGCGCTGCGGGGGGGGACTGGCCCCCGCGCCCCCCCTGCCCCCGCACCACCACGCGCCCGACCAGGCACTGCACTACTACATGTGGTACGTATACACACGACACACTACAACTCCTGTACCCTTTTGCCCCCGTCCGGTAAGTGTACCATAATCTACCCCTGTTCCACGTCCCGATCCCTTCAGCCGTTTAGTCGTGGTTGCGTAGAGTAACAAGCGGTCCCCGCAGGTACGTGGGCGAGATGGGGCGCGAGACGGCGACGGCGCGGCTGGAGCGGCGCGTGGACGGCACGTTCCTGCTGCGGGTGCGGCCGCACGCCGCGCACCTCGCGCACCTCGCGCCGCCGCACGCGCACGCAGACACCAACCTCGCGCTCTCGCTCAAGTACCCGACATTCCTTGCCATTAACATAATATGTCTTTCTCAATTTGTTTTTGTATTATTCCCATCATGAGACATAATAAAGCTAGGCCATTACGTCGCCAAGATCACTCGAATACTTTCAAACTACGCCAACGGGCCTTTGTCATAAGCAACATTATGTGACAATCGACACTCGGATTTTAGTGTTATGATATTTATTTATTTGTCGAAAAATGCACGGTAGCAAAAATAATTATACTCTCGCATTTAAAATGCGGACATTCTATCATACATTAGTTTAGTTTTCCATACTAAGTAACCGTCTGCTCATTTTACAGGACAGATAACACAGTGAAACACATGCGCGTATGTCGCAAGCCGATAGACCAGGTCCAGCACTACTACCTGTCCGAGTCGAGGTTCTTCCGCAGCGTCGTAGAGCTTATCACATACTACGAGAAAACCAGTCTCTCTGAGAACTTTGAAGGGTAAGCTACTCTGTGCAAACACTATATTGACCTTACCTTCTATAAAATTCGTCTGAATGATAAAAATAGCATAACATTATTTATGAATGTAGCTACTAACATCGCTTTGCATAACCATAAGGGACATGGGCATTAAAAACGAATACTGTGACGCAATACTATGTACGAAGCACATTATTTCTTTGATTTGGAAAACTGATGATGTTAAATCAAATACCTTAGTGACTATTCGTCTAGCAAGTTTCAAACAAACAGCAAATTATTTTCAGCTTAAACTCAAATCTCCGCTGGCCATTCCGTCGCGTTGTAGCGACAGTGATTCACGATTTCCGTCCACTGGAGAGCTCCCAGCTAGCACTGCGGCCCGGGGCCAAGGTACTGGTGCTCAGCAAGGAGGGGGACAGTCGGGGCTGGTGGAAGGGACGCACGCTTGATAAGGTAACATATTGATGTTAAACCAGTTGAGTTTTTAAATACTTTTTAAAATTGACGTTATAATGGTTGTTCAAGAAGGTTTTAAGAACCGAGTACAAAGTTGTAGGTGGACAGCTAGTCTAGCTTGCTCTCTTTTTTACAACATAACTTGTTTCCAGGGTGACAACCGCTCAGGCTACTTCCCGAAGGAGTGCGTGCGCGAGGAGCCGGAGTGTATCGGCGCGCTCGACTGATGTCAGCTTTGCCTCGCCGAGCGCGAGCTACACTTCTCGTCGCCCAGGACCGCGCACCTGCTGGACGACGCGGACACTGCCGACCTCGTGTAGCCGGTCTCACACGCCCAGCCAGCGAGGTACACGGCCATCATATAGTCCACGCGACGAACGAACATTCTTACATATTTTTGAGGGTGTTTTATTGTATCTAAATGTTCTATGTCGGTGTTGTCGAAACATGTGGAAACTCAGTAGGCGACGCCCCTACCAGTGGGCGGGAGGTGACATAAGTCTTAGCATAAATGAGTGTTTATTATGGAGCAGAAAGCGAGAACGAGGGACGCAGTTATATTTTCATATCGATGTTAAACGGTTCGATAAATGGTAGGTAATATAAGATTGTACGAAATAGTAATGGATGTGTATAATAGTGGCATATACCACGTGTTTAGAGAACTGTGTAAATATATAGAGGGAGTGTATAAAATGTACAATGATGTATGGGGTAAGCAAAGATAGAGATGGCTCCTACCTCGACAGGGGAGGGAAGGTTCGACTGCAGAAGTGCTGACTAGTATAATTATAAATGTGAACAATACAAATATAAAAGAGTATCTCTACATATATGCGTCTTAATAGTTTTAAAAGAGTTGAATGTATAGACAAATATTTAATTGTTTCGGAAGAATAAACTTTGCTCTTCAATGATGTGTAGATGAGTATAGTCTGTGGTGCACAGTCTATTATTATTTTCGAAATGTGAGTAAAAGTATATTATTATACGGTTTCATGTTACGTACGAAATGTAAAGTAATTTTGTGAGAATTTATTTAGAGATATTGGATAAGGCATCCGGTTTACACGACAATTGTTTGGAAAGGACGTTTTCGTTTTGATGTAAAGGCAGTCGGTAAATTAATGGAGCGAAGGAATTGAAATATTTAGTGTTGCTATAGGAATATTGATGTGTTGACACTTTACAAAATAATTAATGTTAGCAACGTGTTCTTAAAGTCATTCTTTAAACTGTAATAATATTTACTAATGCACTTTTTGTGTAGTTATTCAAAATTAAGTTTGGAGAAATCTCTAGTCGTGCGGATGGGGCTTTACGAAGCAATCTCACTTCTGTGTGAAGATATATGTTATATACATGTGCATAAATGTTGTTATGTCTAAAATTATCGGTGGTTATCTAAAAATGAATCTTTAGAGATATTGGCTGTATAGTCAATAACTAAGGTATTTAATATTGGTCAAACGTATTGTTTGGGCAATACTAAAGCATACGAAATGTGACTAGCCCGTTTTGCGCAAACAAAGTGAAGTTTGCGCAAATCGCGCTAAACCGTATCACATAAGAATAAGTTTTGTTAAATTTTAAACAATATTCAGCAGATATTCTTCCAATAAATCTGACCTTGAAAGGTAAACGAAGTAGCTCTCTTCAGAATGGCAGTCGGCGATGTATTGATGGTGCGTATCGATGCTTTAATGTAGATATATTGTAGAAGTGTGCCGCAGGCGCATTGTATGTCGGATCGAGTGTACGTTGGAATGTGCTAACTATCATCTCTATATCTTCTGAGGACAAGAAGAATGATGTTATGGCGATGACAATTATTTTGGAATACATAATTATTTTACTAACGAATATGTTGATAAAATAATACGACTTTGACTGCTAATTGAAAAAACTGTTATTAAAACCGTATTCTCCACTAGCGTTGCGTTGATAGTAACCGCATTAAAGTGTATACTTATGCGTACCGAAGGCGTCTTTTAATTATATTAAAAACGAATTATTTTTATAAGATTAATGAAATTGACACCATGCAGTCTATTTATTAAAATAAGTGAAACCTACTTTTGTAGAACTCTTTGGGGCTAGAATCTCTTGCACGCCCATGACAACGTACACTCAGGATTGTTGTTATAGATAATTCATGTCATTATATTTGTTAAGTCGTGGACTATTCTGTCTTCTCCTCTTCCATGGTCTATGCAAGATCTTACAAACTCCTTCGTGACCAAAATTACTAATGACAATGAATAGTCAACCTTATTATTAAAGCAACATGGAGTTCAAATTGATATAAAAGCGAAATATAAAGAATTTTCATCTTTAGGCTACTGGTTATAAGGTTGGCTATTGAATGTCATAGGAATTCTTTAGAAAATTATATCTTTGGTCTTTATAATAACGATCTTGTATAAATCATAATTCTTCTCATCCCGTGCACTACCCACCATGACGGAAAGTAATGCTCAAACTGTGTATTAACGTTTTCTATTAGTTGTACTTTAAAGTGTTCAACATAAGACTTATATTTGATTAACTATCACCTCAGTGCAGCCATAATTCTACGTGCAATATAGCGAATTTTTATCAGTACTTTCTTTTAAGAAAGCTGCGAAAATATTTCCTAAAATTGCTTATTATTTTTATTTAGCTCTAGGCTCGCAATTTAACTCGTCGAGTACCGTCATTATAGACACAATTATAGAACAATAGGTTGCGGTCACCGGTGACCGCTTGGTGTTTGACAGTTTAAGTGTGGAAAGTGTATGTTACATTATAATATGAATGAACATACATGTACACCACTGCCTGTCACAAATAGAAACTTGGTGTTCATTTATTTTATTGCTTATTCTTAATAAATACCTCAACATCGGCCAAGACTTCATTTTTATACATACAAAGATTGAGGTGAAGTGCCAAACTTTGAAACAACTTTTGTACATTGGCATAACGCTTACTAGCCAAAATGTAGCTTATTTCTTTCACAATAAGGCTCAATTTGAATCGCCATTTTATGGAATTCATAAGTAAATGAATTATTTAGATCGAGATATTGTATACATATACCATTCTCATTCATACTCTCTGAAAATAGCAATGCTAGAGAGAGACATGAAATCAAATACAGGTATCTGTTGAGCTCGGTTATTTCTTCTAAACAATCGTTATGCCAATTCGCTGCCAACGTACTATACCTCATTTTAGCCGTTCTATCTACATTCCAATGCATAGTATTATTTTTTCTCTAATCTAAACAATTGCACGAATTATCAGTTTATAATACTTATTTAAACTTTATTACAAAAATATAATGTTCATTTTTGTTTAACAAACTACAGATTATAGTTTATATACGTCTTTAATTATATTATTAACTTTATTTGCAATATTATGGTCACATTTACGTATTATAATTTTGTCTTCCGACTTTTTACGCGGTCGTAGCTATTTGCTACACCGTAGTAAGTCTTCGTAGCATACCGTAGTATTTAGTTACATTTTAATTTGAAAAAAAAATTATAAATTTTTTAAGTCACCTGTCAATGTTCAATCTACGATACTTTCAAACAGTCATCCACATATCACGAACATAATAAATTAAATTTAAAATAATTCGAGCTTTGTTTACTTAAAAAGTCTAAACGAAAAAAAAATAGAAATCTACAATCTTACATACCTAAATATTTAATAATAGATTTTGAAAGTAGCCGTCGTTGAAATATAGTTATTGTTCTTGTTATATAAATCTAAATATTTAATTAGTTGAAACTCAAAAGTTATATGCATCCTAAACTAATAATACATAGTTCATAACTTAATAAAAAAGGTAATGTTGAATCTTAGCACTCAAATTGACACTTGTTCGTTCATGACAAAACTTCGATCGTACTCTCTTCCTGAGGACCTATTACGAGTTTATTTTACGTTAACGCAATCGGTACGTTTATGACGTTCGCCGCTATGATTGGCATGCTCCTATTTGCAGCCAACCAATCAGACGGCTAAAAGCGGTAACGTTCCAATCGCCTTAACCTTAAAAAGAAGTCGCACTAGGCCCTCTGATTTTACAAGAAATACTGTGAAATACTTCACAAAATATTTTGATCATTACATCCTAACATTTCCATATATTTCATTATGATTATGACTAATGTAAATAAATTGTTAATTTATTTGTGTAATTATTGTTTAGTGTACCGGTAAGTTGACGTGCACAATGAATGTTATCCTTCCACGTTTCTCTTAAGTAAGTTAAGTCTTAGTAGATTAAACAATGTCGTTTAAACATATGTGTGGAGGTGGCAATATGTATCGTCTTCTTCTATCTACATACGTGCAGTAGACTCACTATTGCTCGCGTACTTTTATTTAAGCTATATTCTACGTTTATTTAACGTAAGCATACTTTACTAGGACGACAAAGAAACTGATCTAGATATTATTTCGTTAAGTATTCCTTACTTATTATATTCATAAGTAATGTAAATAAACTCGTATATTTTCTCGTACACTGAGCCACTTCCATCTCGTCATAATAAATTATAAAACTAAATGTAAATTTTAAATGGATTTAAATGTTACTTATAAACACTAGTGCCACTGAATAAAATATAAATTTTAAAATATGCTTCAATATAATCTTTATGATAACCAATGTTTAAACACTGCTTTAATTATTATATGTGAAGAAAAAATATATCTATTGATTAAAATATAGTTTATCTTGTCCATGGCGACAGGGTGCCGTTGTTATGTAAAAATTATAAAATATTATAAATGATATAAAAAATTATGAGACATAGTAAAAATATGGTTGTTGTAAAGTAATAGATATATATTTTTTCTATTTAGTTGGCGTGCCCGGGGCGGGCGTGGCGAGTCACGGCCGCAGTGTGATAGATAGATCAATATAGAAAATATTATTTTGCATTTTTATTCATATGTCCTGGGAGATGGTAGCTAACGTGAACACCGCATTACCGTGCACTTTCATTTAGATATTAGTGATTATATAATTCAGTGTATAATATACAACAACAATATTGTAAGTACCTATAGTTAGCTCCCCCGCTCCCACTGAGTCGCTAAGTTTATGATTCGTGCCAAAATATGTTAAATTGTGAGCAAGCATGAAATGATCTCTGTAATATTACGCCGTATATGGACACTACATACAATATCTGCGTACGATGTTATCTGCACTAGAATATGTTCATTTATTACCATTTACATGTATGTTATATATATTAGTTTTAAGTTCACACATCTTATTGGGTGGTCAAACATTGTGAGTGTCTGTCGGATATATTTTATTTTTGTGCATTGTCTATTCTCAGTACAAAAGTTGACTTTCTCATGGTAGCTATATAGTCGCAAATTGAACGTCTTTTTATTTTATTATTTTTAGCAATGTTCTGAATCTTGGTAAGCGCACAATGACTTTATTTTTGTTTGCAAGTCGTCTCAATGTCATACGTACGTATTAGCACATTGGTAATCCTTGCGCTGCCTTCATATACAGACAAGCTTTGTATGCAATTAAATTAGAATATTTGTATGCGAATATGTCTAAAGATACATATTTTTGTTTTGTTTGATCGGACTGGAATACTAATGGAAAAGTTGATGCATGCAAGCAAACGTGATAATCGTAAATACATTAGAGATTATTATTGTTTGAAGTTTTATGTAAACTATGCAAGGATTGCCATTGTATTAAAATTGATATAAATACATTTAAATTGATATAAACGTAGTATGTAATAGCAAGTTTATGTTAAATGTCTGCATGTATGGAAAGTTGGTGCTAAGAAATAGTAGTTGTGTTCATTTGTCATTACGTTCCCCAGTGCTTGTGTGCGCCGCCGTTGCGTTAGTAAGAAATTGTATTTTGATATTATTTATGTTCATGTTTGTAAATATACAGAAACGGCATATCCATTGTTCTGTAGTTAGGTAAGCCACTCCACAAATAAATACACCGTTGGAGAATTTATTTGTTTTATTTTATCATCAATAATTTTATTACAAAAATAAACGAGTATCTATATAATATTTAATATTTGAAGTCCTTCGATTGACTAAGGTCGTAGGAAACAGGTTTTGATCCCAACGGGAAATATTAAATTATATTTCAAATTATAGAAATATGCCTATATTTGTATTATATTTTATTGACCGCATCCGCTGTAGGAAATCGTTAAATGCTTATCTTAGATCTATAAAAATAATTATTTCTTAACTTAATATGTACAAAAATAACATTTTTGATTCAGTTCACGTTCAACATAGTGCTTAGATAATGTTCTGCATGATATTTAGGTACCTGTGACATTTAATTGATGTTTGAAAGCCTTTCACATAATTTTCTCATTATAGAATGGGTAGGCTAGCCTTTTACAAATATCAATTACCTAATGTACCTTTGCATTGTGCGAGCAAAATAATTACATTAAAACTAATTGTTACTGAAAATAATTTACTTCAAGTCTGGTGTACTACTTCCAAGATACGTTCTAAGGTCGGTGATGGTGGATTTGATCAGTTTGCCAGGAATGGTCGGTCGGTTCAGACGTTTGTAGGCGGCATACCTGTGGCAGCCTCCGAAACTGTAGTAATAGTCTCCTCCCTCTGAACCCTTGATCCAGAGGATATCTATGGGGGGTACGTTGCCTGCCTCTTCTTCTTTCTGTAAAAAAGAAAATAAATATTATTAATTGCCGAGAACGCAATCCTTACTTCTTTTCTTGAGGCTGAAGGCGTCGTGATCAATAGTCTCAAATTACTTGAAAGTAATTGATAATGTGCTGTCGTGCGTTTACAAATTGATAACTATTTTAAATGAAACTTTTATTGGAATTATATAAAATGTTATTTTCTTAAAAATTCACAACACATTACCTAATAACCTAAACACTTATCGCGTCGGGTTACTTTTCACATGAAAAGTTTACATAATAAAATAGTTTAAATGACGATAATATTTTTTATACATTTGTGATAACTTAGCCACCGCTAGATACACAAATTACTTTGGCCTTTTGACCTTACAGATTATTTAAAACAAATAAACTACTAATTTATTATTACTTTCAGTTACCCAAATTAGTCAATGCCAAAGTTATGTACCGTTGTAACTTAAATAGCGCAGGTCCTAAATTGCTCCCTTGTGGTACACCAACAAGGATAATTAATTCTTTGTTATCGCTGCTTTTAAGCCAATGCAATATTTATATCTGCAAAATAGTTTTGCAACAAATAACGTTGAAGTCCTTTAAGAATGGGGTTAAGTACAATCTATGTAGGATAACTAGATACTATTAGTGACAACTAGTACTCAATGTAGGTTAGATTTACCTTTATGATCAGTTCAGTTATTATCTTAGCTAGTGATTAACCGTGACCAGTTATAGTCACCGGCGCTAGAGATATTAATAAATTATTTATTAGCTGCAGTTGATTACAGCAGTCACTCAAATCTCGATTAAAATTAATTGCTTACATAATTCTTGAACAGTTTTAATAAGTTAAGAGACTATAAATAGAAGTACCCACCTATTAAAATAAAATAGAATATTATTTACAATTATCCACCTATGATTTAATGGAAAAAGAAATTAAAAATAAGAGGGTAGACCAAACATCATTATCATCTTTTAGCTTGTTGTGGGTGGGTAATTGAGTAACTGGACATAGTTCAGTCTTTTATGTAATTCCGAAGAGTAACGTTATATTAACTCAAAATCGCGGGTTACTCATATGAAAATACCGAGAAAAGCTCCACTAAAAAAGTTATAGTAACCTTAAAGTGCCTACCAAGATTATTCTGGAAACAGTGTTTATAAAGAAAATCTCAACCAACATGGCATTGGTAAGTAACTAACCTTTAGTTTTACCTACTTATGTACGTTTTGTAAATGTTTTCCTTACCTGTATCGTTTCCATGAGTGAGACGACTTTTTCTTCCGTAAGTTCTGGTATGAACGGCCTGATGATGACAGACATCGGCACGTCGTGCACCTCCTCCTTGTACGCACTGTGGACACTCGTCATTCTCGATGCTAGAACCGATACCAACATTGATGAATAAATTACGAATAAATACATTTCTAATTCATTCACGCGAATTGCTTGTTAATTCAGTAGACTAGGTACCTACTGTAGGTAAATAAAAGTAGGTACTGCGTCACTATAAACAATTTACCTATCTATCGTGTTTTTATCTGATAATTTCACATTCTAAACAGAGTTTGATGATTAGATTTGTCGAAATTTTGACAAACCCTCGTTTCAAACCATGGACTAAAATTGTTAGTCCATGCTATTATACAAACATCTTATTTTATGAACTATAACTTAGATAGGATGTAGTTTCCTCATTGCAATAATCACTTGCAAGTACTTAGATATTTGTTTACTTGGTTCGACGTCTTTTTAGTTTAAAAGCTTTAATTAATTAAATTACAATTCTCGATACCCATTTGTTAAGTAATAAAGTACCTACATAGTCAGGTGACTGGCACTTTGGCAGTACTTGTTAACTGTAATATCATCAATTCGTTATGAAATTCGCATGTCACGTTCAAGGATCATCGTTAGCTTTTTAGATTACTATAAAAATTAACTGAAATGACTTTAGCTATATCTAACAGTTGTTTACCAATTAGTATCAAATTAATCAAACGAAATAGCATAATATTTTAACGTATACTCACAATTTCTCGCGGACACAGAGGCAGTTAAGTTAATAACAGATTTGAGCATTTATAACAATAAGCAGAGTTAGCCAAGCTACTCGAGCGACAGACGGCGCGCTACTAACCTAACGATGAAGTCAACGTCGACATGACGCCACTATCCACCTGATTCATACGTAGCAAGGTCACCGTATACTTATAAAAATAAACAAACTGAAATACTTACTATTTACTTCATTGAAACTAGCGTTATCAAGCTAGCATTGTAATTAGGATATGATTAGGGTAACTGGTTTTGATTGCATTATGCAATCTGAACCTCACGCTAGCGTTAGATAACGCTGTCAACTGTACCTTACAAAATCTTCCCATATACTTATGGTTAACTATCAAATTATTTGAAGCATCTAACGGTATAAATAAAGATTGTATGACGGAAGGACTTTTTTTTTTGAGGGGGAAAATCATCCAATGGCTTCTCCCGCCCGGGTGAGGCGAGAGGAGTCAGACTCTTACTGACTAAAAACCACCTCGTTCCTACGGGCTTCGAGCCGGAGCCCCAGCAACCCGTTAAGTCTTCTGCGGCTCCGTATCGGCATCAGCCCTGTTGGGCCCCATCTATTGTGTTCTTATGGCTCCTTGAGGTGCGCGCGGAACGCTACGCGCCGTACGCTCGGACCTAATTCTGGTCGGGCGGCGACTCACCCGAGCTTGCCGTCCGCAGGCCCGTGCTTACGGTGGCCGGAGATCGTCTCGCGATCCCCGACGCCCGGAGTGTCTCTCGCGACGGCGGGGCGTGAAAGGTTTTCCCTCACGTGCTCCGCCTCCTACTTAGCTAGCATGACTGCTTCGCAGAAGAAGAAGAAGACGGCATCCCAGTCCCCTTCGCTGCGTACCATGGTCTGAACCAGAGAAGGACGCGAAAGGCCTTCGCCGATCACATTCCTGAATGACGGAAGGACTGGCAGTAGGTAGTCGGTATTTTTATACTAATCCTCGTTTCGTCACGCTTGGAACAAATTAGACACGCTCCTTTTATTTATTAAGGTTCGAAACTCTATAGCTGTTTAAAATTCTCTTATATTTAAAGGGTTGCATAGTTGAACACGAAACATAATTAACAAATCACGATTTCTGTAGTATTAAATTGACCTCTATAAATAAGACTTATATTAGCATTATTTTTCGTACTCGAGTGCTAAATACCCAAATGTAAATATTTTATTAAGTGACTGTGTATTACCGGTCCACGGAAAATTCGTGTGTAGCAATTTGTAAGAGAAGCTACATAGATATCGGTCAAGCTATATAAAATATGGTATCTTCGAACTTGCTTGCATTACATAACGTTTGTTTTATAAACAATGAAATTTAACAAATAATCGTACGAGTAATTACGACAATTATAACAAAAACAACGATAACATTCGGTAATAACGGTCAAGAGTCATCTGCCTACATTATGTTTGTTACCACACTAGATTCTGCCCGCGGATTCGCCCGCGTCTTGTGGAATAAAAAGTGGCCTACGGGTGTTTTTAATATCGTGCGGATATCATCACGCGTGCGGGATTGCCCCGCATGCGTAAGCCCCGCAAATGTCCTTTTCATAAAAGTATTTATTATAATGCGTGGAATACGGACGCGGGACTATAGACTATCGGGTTTCACGCTGCGTGAAATTTTCTGCATGCGGGGCAATACCGCACGCGTGACGAAATCCGCACGATATTAAAAACACCCGGGTGTTTTTAATATCGTGCGGATATCATCCATGAGGTGTGGGGGGCTAGTGTAAAATAAAACAATACGTCTGTCTCGTTTCACGGTGCTCTTTAATCTGACCCACTAACTACTAACTACAATAAGGTATACCCCACTTCACCTCCGGGGTAAAAGAAAAAAAAAATTAAATCTAAAGATTACATTTTTTTTTGAACTTACAGCTAATTGCCAAACATAAATGTTAAATGCTAAATCCTTAATCATGTAAAGATTAAATGTACTTAAATTAAGCTTACATAATAAAATTTATTTATCTTTAACAAATAATTTTGTTCTATTTTTGTGAACAACATCAATTTTTCCATTTTTCATGATTTTTACATTTGGTTCTTGTTCTTCTATTACAATATATGGGCCGTCATATAAAGGTTTTAATTTATTTCCTGTTTCATTTTTTACTAACAACATATCATTTGGATTATACTTTATTTGATTTACAGTTTTATCATAAATTTGTTTTCTTTTCTCTTTACACTTTAACAAGTTTTCTCTGGCATCTCTATTAGCTACTTGTAACCTGTATTTTAATTCTAAACTGTAGTTATCAGGATTGTACAATGGTTCTATATTAGAAAAAATTCTACTTGGTATTTCACAGGGTTTACCAAAAACTAATTCGTA